ATGACTGCTCGGCATGTTTACAACTACTGCACGGCCGCCTGATTGGGTGGCTTTAGGTGAACTTTTGTTTGAAGATTCAATACAAGTACATTCAAGAGTTTGTTTTTTCCAAGACAAGAGATCGATTTGATTTATTTACTCTAGCTGTCTAGTGTAGTAGCATGTTTCAAGAAAAAGTTCAGTAGTACGAGTTTCAAGATGGCGCCACCAGATGACGTAATGGTTGTTAATGTGAAATGGAGTACTTTACAATTTCCGGTACAGAATTCGACAAGATTTAGATGTTTGTTTAATATACTTAAGAGAGAAAAATTATGTACGTGTAACCTAGCTGTGGATTCATGGTTGGCATTGGTTGCTTGTCATAGAACTAATAATAATGCAGCTGTGTAGTTGTGACAATGATGTTATGACAGTGACAGTATGACATGGTGACAATGGTGTTGGGGTATTGTGACAGTATGACATGGTGACAATGGTGTTATGATGTTGTGACAGTGACAGTATGACATGGTGACAATGGTGATGTGGTATTGTGACAGTATGATATGGTGAAAATGGTGTTGTGATGTTGTGACAGTATGACATCGTGACAATGGTGCTGTGATATGGTTTAAATGAAACTGCCATATGAACATAAAAATAAAATAAAACAGCGACTACTCTTTGATCACGAGTTAAGCGGCTGGTCAATGAAGTTGTCTGCCAATTAAGTGGTCAGTCAAGCAAGTGGTCGATCAATTAAATGGTCAGTCGTTATGTGTAAATGAATTGGTCAATTGATTGAGTTGTGTTTTGATGAATTGGCCAATTGATATGTACTCGGCGATGAAGCCTTTGTGCTAGTGTTTTAAAAATAAATCTTAAGTTTTTCTACCAACACATGGTAATTTATTAGTTTAACTAGGGTAGGTAATCAAGTTCTAGTTATTCAATGTGAATGGGTAGTTGGTAAAAGAGGGGGGGGGGGGGGGAGGGGTTGTGGGTGACGACCTGGATACAGTACCTTCCAAAAATAAACAGTAGGTACCCTCAACCAGGATCGTTTATCTTATGTTGGTAGATTGTGCGGTACTTGAGGAAAAGTTGCCGTGTCATAGATTCTATCGGAGATAAAGAGACGTTGAGCTTTAAGGTTAAGTTCAACGTTGCCAGGGTTAGGATTAGCCAACCTAAGTAAACATATCGTGTGCTGAGCCCGCCATTGTATCATACTTGGGCTCTACCAGTCTCGTTACTGTATCGCATGTGTAAACAAATATCGGTAACCAAGGAGTCTCCTAGGCAACACACGTCGATGTTAACGATCAGATAAATGGCATCAAAAGCTCCCCGATATTGTTATGCTGAAAATAAACAAAGTCACGTGATCCCTACTCGGAATAACCGGAAGTAGGTCTTTACGGAATCAGTTACCTTGAATTGGTGGTATTGGAGTTACTTCTCTTCGCCTTTGAAATTAGCATCTCGCTACACGTAAAAGCCATTAACCCAGTGCCACCTTCAAGCTAGACAAAGGTGTAGCTACAGGCTTGCTTGTCTCGCGACACATTTGCATGTCTCGCACAGGCTTGCGTCGTTAGCCTTCCAACAGGTTTGCGTCTCATAGAGGTCTTTTTTTTTTTTTTTTGAATTTTTTCAAACAAGCACATTTGAATATGTAATAAACAGACCTACATCACAAAAAATATTAAAACGCCAAACCATATAAAAAAATATTCACAAGTCTATTTTGTTTGCGAATGTGTTTTAAATATAGTTTATTATTTTTAAAAAAATTTAGATTTGTTATGAAAAGTTGTTTTTTTTTCTGAATACTGTAAACATAGAAGATAATTGTGACTACCCTCCTACTGGATAACATAATAATGTGAAAAAGCTTGTAAGAGGCCTTTTATATAGCAGTTATTTCCCTTTAATGAATCATTTTAGTTGTCTCCCCTGGACTTAAAAATTTGCTTGTTTATGAATAACCGCTTCCTGTTAGAGCCGACCCTATAATACTCTTGTTCTATTTTTTCCTTCTATAAACACATTTTTTGTGCAATCCTGATCGTAACGCTAGAGGCTTTATTTTATAATTGAATGATTACAGATTGCTTCATCATGCACGGGGTGGGGTGGGGGAGGAGTTGTCTTCCTCAGCTGAAATGTTGGTGTGTGGGCGGAGTAGGGGGGGGGGGGCGGAGTGATTTAAGGAGGTATGTGAGTTCAACTATTTATAGCATCTCATCTACCTCAACATCTTCCCTACCTCAGCATCTCCCCTACCTCAGCATCTCCCCTACCTCAGCATCTCCCCTACCTCATCATCTCCCCTACCTCAACATCTCTCTAGCTCAGCATCTCCTCTACCTCAGCATCTCCCCTACCTCAGCATCCTCCCTACCTCAGCATCCTCCCTACCTCAACATCTCCCCTACCTCAACATCTCCCCTACCTCATCTCCCCTACCTTATCATCTCTCCCCTACCTCAGCATCTCCTCTACCTCAGCATCTCCCCTACCTCAGCATCTCTCCTACCTCATCATCTCCCCTACCTCAGCATCCACCCTACCTCATCATCTCCCCTACCTCAGCATCCTCCCTACCTCAGCATCCTCCCTACCTCAGCATCGCCCCTACCTCAGCATCTCTCCTACCTCATCATCTCCCCTACCTCAGCATCTCTCAGTGATCTGATACAGTGAAGATAAACTGACGCTGGCTGCTATTTACGGGCTCTAGGTCCTACCCTCATGACCTGATCGTACCCTCGTTGTTAGGACCTACCTCATAACCTGAGCACTCGCGTTGTTAGGTCCTACCCTCATGACCTGATCGTACTATCGTTGTTAGGTCCTACCCTCATGACCTGAGCACTCGCGTTGTTAGGTCCTACCCTTAAGACCTGGTCCTGTCGATAGGTCCTACACTTGTGTGTCGTACACCCATCGTTACGTTGTACGTTGGTCGTTTGGTCCTGAATTTAACCAACAAAACAATAAAGTCAAGAGAAACCAGTTGTTGTTGTTTGATCCAGAAGACTCATCCTTTTGTTGTACAATTATTGGTCTTGCGATGTGTTGTTAAAATAATTAATTCTGACATGCACTTAGCAGACGTGGGATGCCAGTGGAGATAACTGCCAGTCCGACACGCTACTTGAGCGGTTAACTGTCGTCTGCTTATGAATGGCCGCATTTCAAAACTATCACGTGACCTGTTTTATCTGACCGCCTGACACGATAACGTTGGCCGTCAGCAGCTTTAGTTAGGCTGACTATTCGCACTTTCTCTGGCTAGCCGTCTATACAATCTCTGGATAGCTTGTCTATACAATCTCTGGCTAGCTTGTCTATACAATCTCTGGATAGCTTGTCTATACAATCTCTGGCTAGCTTGTCTATACAATCTCTGGCTAGCTTGTCTATACAATCTCTGGATAGGTTGTCTATACAATCTCTGGCTAGCTTCTCTATACAATCTCTGGATAGCTTGTTGGCTATACAATCTCTGGCTAGCCGTCTATACAATCTCTAGATAGCTTGTCTATAAATCTCTGGCTAGCCGTCTATACAATCTATGGCTGGCCGTCTATACAATCTCTGACTAGCTTGTCTATACAATCTCTGGCTAGCCATCTATACAATCTCTGGCTAGCCATCTATACAATCTCTGGCTAGCCGTCTATACAATCTCTGGCTAGCCATCTATACAATCTCTGGATAGCTTGTCTATACAATCTCTGTCTAGCCGTCTATACAATCTCTGGCTAGCCATCTATATAATCTCTGGCTGGCCGTCTATACAATCTCTGTCTAGCTTGTCTATACAATCTCTGGCTAGCCGTCTATACAATCTCTTTTCTAGCTTGTCTATACAATCTCTGGCTAGCCGTCTATACAATCTCTGGCTAGCCGTCTATATAATCTCTGGCTAGCCGTCTATACAATCTCTGGCTAGCCGTCTATACAATCTCTGGCTAGCTTTTCTATACAATCTCTGGCTAGCCATCTATACAATCTCTGGCTAGCCGTTTATACAATCTCTGGCTAGCCGTCTATACAGTCTCTGGCTAGCCGTCTATACAATCTCTGGCTAGCTTGTCTATACAATCTCTGGCTAGCCTGGCTATATTACATTATAAACATATAGTTATATTAAAATTGTATCGCACGCAGTTAAGAATTCTATCACATCCGTGTTAAGCAGTTGGATAAGACTAGACTAGACTATAACTTGAAATGTCCCAGCTATATGACTAGACTGTAACTTGAAATGTCCCAGTTATAAGACTCGACGATTACGTGAAATATTTCAGGACTTGAGTTACAAGAAAATCACGTGAAATGTTTCACGACTTGAGTAGACTCATGAAATGTCCCAGCTATTAGACCTGACTCGACAATCACGTGACATGTTTTACATCTACCTCAACGTGAACGATACTCACTTGACGAAAATCAAAACATGACAACTTTTTCATCAACACCACATTTTTTCACCGCATACATAAACAAAAACACAGGAACGTAGTTTAGCTTTACCTATTACATTTCATCATGCGATATTGTTGAACTTCCTAGAAAGTTTGAATAATAAATAAGTTGCTTGGCATAAAAGCGTTACAGCATTTTTTTTTATTACAGATTTTAAAATTGTAGATAAATACGGTTATCTCATGGTGCATCGTGCGATTTATAACAGCTGAAAATTTAGGGAGGGGGGGGGTTCACAAGTTATTTACGAGTCGACCACACGACAGACACTGACCTCATTAAAAACGGAAGCGGCGGAGGGGTGGGGGGAGTGTTATTACAGTGGGGCGGTCTGAAAATAAAGGGTGTGTCGGCGCGCGGGGGGTGGTGTGAACTGAGCTCTACACGGGGAACAGACCGAAGGGAAATCACCGGTATAGTAGTGATTGCCGCGCTATCAAGACCAACAAGTGTGTAGCCTTGGTGCGCATGCGCACAGCGCCGGCAGACGTAGAATAGTTCAGTACTAGCCCAGTTATTCACCTTTCGTGTTTACCTGCGGTAGTACTACGAAGTCCAGTTGTGGTATGTTGAATTTCAAAATAAACCTGATTGGATAGGCGAAGCTGACGTCATTATTAGATGACGCGAGAACCATAATGATTACGTCGTATATAGTGGTGAGATTTTTTAAAAGGTTAATTAATTTTTTTTCGTTGTATAACAATTAGTGGCAAGTAGTAAGTAGGCCTTGATCTAGAATCCAGATCTTAGTAAAATCTCACAACTTACCTCTCTGTAGTAAATCTGAAATAATACTTGAATAACTATAACTAGAGTATTACTTAAAATGAGATAGATCTAGAATTTAAATCTAGAAAAAATATATCATTATTCACTACAGTTACTTTTTAAAATAATAGATCTAGATCTAGTTAATTTATTATCTTATTGAACAAGTTGTAGGCTTATCTCCTAGTGGTAGGTCTTATTTTATTTTCTTCATGCAGTTTGTATTACTTTTCCACTTTATGTTTATATCTACTTTGAATAGTTTATTCTAAATTAAAAAAAAGAGCTTAATTAGCAGCAGTCATTAGCCGTATGTTAGGCCTAATTAATTTATCTTATAAAAATTTACTAATAATTTTAATGAATAGGCCTTCTATTGTATGCTTTTTTGCTGAAAAAATGTTGCCAGTAATTAACATAGCGTTTTTTTTTTCCACATGAGCATGTCTAGGTTTGTTTATCCTATGAACTGTAGGTTAATTAATTAAAATTTATTTTCGCAACATTCGCTGAGAAACTGCCAGCTCAACGATCGATCTCGATGATATCAGTAAAGTTTCAGGATTTATGTAGACTCTTTTTTTTTTTAAATCAGCATCTTTGTAAGTTTGTTAGTGTTACATAGATGTTCCGTGGTCGGGGGGGGGGGGGGGGGGGGGGAAGGGGAGAGGGTATAATTGATAGAGAGGGGACGAGGCACAGTTATTGTGCTGTGAAACTTGGAAATTCCGGGAGAATGGGTTGGGGGGGGGGGGTGAAGTTGAATTGTCAATCTCTGTGCTATGAAACTTGGAAATTCCGGGGATAGGGGGGGGGGGGCTTGAATTGTCTGTCTGCTGTGAAAGTTAGAATTTTCTTCGACTGACGATGTTGACCCTCAATGATGACACGATGCTGGATGTGTCAAAATATAACACGATGTTAGGAATGTCAAAATATAACACGATATTAGGAATGTCAAAATATAACACGATATTAGGAATGTCAAAATATTTCAGCATTTTATACTTGGTGTGTGAAAATATTTCATCACACGATACTCAGTGTGTCAATATAACACGATACTCAGTGTGTCAATATAACACTACAGTTGGTGTCAATATAACACTACAGTTGGTGTGTCAGTATAACACTTCAGTTGGTGTGTCATTATAACACTACAGTTGGTGTGTCAGTATAACACTACAGTTGGTGTGTCAGTATAACACTACAGTTGGTGTGGCAATATAACACTACAGTTGGTGTGTCAGTATAACACGATACTTGCTGTGTCAATATAACACTACAGTTGGTGTGTCAGTATAACACTACAGTTGGTGTGTCAATATAACACGATGGTGTATGAAATAGAATGTCCTGCCTACACCTCTGCTATCTCAACGTGGCATCATACAGTTTTATTCCTGGCTTCCTAGTCTGGTCTACATTACATGCTTCATTTACCAACAAGGCCGGGGGTCTCAAACTATTCACTGACGCCCTTCTCCAGTATGTATGGCATCAGTCGTCCACTCACCTTCCAACCCCCTACACATGACGCGGTCAACGGTTCTCAAACTAGCTAACTGACACGATGTCCAACAAATCTTAAATTAAGACGAAGTGGTCACTTAGTAAGCAGACGATCACCTACCCAATATCTTTAGCATGTCTCTGAGACCGAAAAAAATGTAATTGCTAACCTTAAAAACAATGATAAGAAAGTAAAGACCGCTGAGTATAGTGCGAAGCCCCCCCCCCCCCCCCCGAACGAAATGAAATTTATATAATTTATATAGAAAATATATACTTTTAACAGTGTCCGCCCCCCGAAGAAAGTCTACCGCCCGCCCCCCCCCCCCCCCCCCCCCCCCCCGAAAATTTCAAATGCCCCCTCCCCCCGGAGAATAAAAGTCTGGAAGAAACACTGAAAGTGATAGAACCCACACCTTCCCTTAATAAACATGGGAGCTCTACCTCTGTTCAAAGTTTGTTTCAGCCATCTTTCCCGGGGGGGGGGGGGGGGTGTCAAGCACGTCTGCCGCTATCCTGTTACGGACGACAAACAGAAAATATATTAATTATAATTTTTCTCTAACCAGTGTCGACGTCCCCCTCCCCCCCCCCCCCCCCCCGTCGGGGGACGGAAGAAAAAAATCACTGAAAGAGCCTCAGCTTCTGTAATTCGATCCATTTTTATGGCGGGAGGGCTCTACTACATTTTTAAAAACTCAATCACCAATCGTCTGCTACGATTTGGGTTCCGGATTGAATTATTTGGTCATTGTCTGTGGGTTGTCCCTTTGGTATGTTGGCGTCTGTTTGGTTGTCCTTTGGTATGTGGCGTCTGTTGGGTTGTCCCTTTGGTATGTCGGTATGGTGTTGGGTTGTCCCTGTGGTATGTTGGCGTCTGTTGGGTTGTCCCATTGGTATGTTGGCGTCTGTTGGGTTGTGCCTTTGGTATGTTGGCGTCTGTTGGGTTGTGCCTTTGGTATGTTGGCGTCTGTTGGGTTGTCCCTGTGGTATGTTGGCGTCTGTTGGGTTGTCCCTTTGGTATGTCGGTATGGTGTTGGGTTGTCCCTGTGGTATTTTGACTAGTGCCAGATTGTCCAGTCAAACCCTGGTGACAGCTTGCCGACGATTGCTCTGAAAGGAAGGAGCACATTGAGAGCACTTACCGGGACCCGGAGTACGATGTTATCTAAAGTAGGGCTATTATCCCCGGGCTCCGACGGGTCAAGGGTCACGCTGGAGTACACCTGTAGCCCGGGCCCCGACAGGTGGATAAGCAGCGCAGTGGACCGATTGTTTCCCAACCGTAAACCAAAGTCAGGTGACTCCCGACATTTTTCTTTCCAGGAAACTGTACGCTTCTGTCTGCCCTTAAGGCGCCTCGGTGAAATAAAAAAAAATGGAGGGGTCGATTGCTAGGGTTAGTTAAGGGTTATGTTGGTTGCTATTCTTAGGGCTATGGTGTTAAAGTTAGGGTAAGTTGGTTGCTGAGGTTAGGTTTTGAGTTGAATGCTATGGTATGATGCTAACGATGGAGTTTCATCTTTTATACCAGGCTGCCCAAATCATAGTAGTATCAGATTAGGGCAGGGGTTAGGATATGGTTACTGGTCAAATAGAGTGCTAAATAAGGGGTTAGGATATGGTTACTGGTCAAATAGAGTGCTAAATAAGGGGTTAGGATATGGTTACTGGTCAAAATAAAGTGCTAAATAAGGGGTTAGGATATGGTTACTGGTCAAAATAAAGTGCTAAATAAGGGGTTAGGATATGGTTACTGGTCAAAATAAAGTGCTAAATAAGGGATTAGGATATGGTTACTGGTCCAAAATAAAGTGCTAAATAAGGGGTTGGGATATGGTTACTGGTCAAAATAGAGAGCTAAATAAGGGGTTAGGATATGGTTACCGGTCAAAATAGAGTGCTAAATAAGAGGTTAGGTAGAATGAGAATAGCTTTTTAGTACCACGCCCCCACCCCTCATCTTTTAATGGGGAAATCTTATCTTGTGCTGAAGCAACGTCCGGTTATCTCACAAATATTTATACAACTATGTACTTATCAAGCACTTATATTCTCCCCCTACTCCGCTAGTGTTATATAGCACCACCCAAACATGTAACCTAGCAGACCATCTTAGGAACTACCCAGCGAGCTACCTAACGAACCTCCCAGTAAAACACCTAACGAACCACCTAATAAACCACCAAACGAACCACCCAGCGAACCACCTAACATGCCACCCAGCGAACCACCCAGCGAACCACCCAGCGAACCACCTAACGAACCACCCAACCAGCGAGCCACCCAATCAGCGAGCCACCCAATCAGCGAGCCACCCAATCAGCGAGCCACCCAACCAGCGAGCCACCCAGCCTGTGTGAGGTACCCAACCAGCGAGCCACCCAACCAGTGAGCCACCCAACCAGCGAGCCACCCAACCAGCGAGCCACCCAATCAGCGAGCCACCCAGCCTGTGTGAGGTACCCAACCAGCGAGCCACCCAACCAGCGAGCCACCCAGCCTGTGTGAGGTACCCAACCTGTGTGAGGTACCCAGCCTGTGTGAGGTACCCAGCCTGTGTGAGGTACCCAACCAGCGAGCCACCCAACCAGCGAGCCACCCACCCTGTGTGAGGTACCCTGTGTGAGCCACCCAGCCTGTGTGAGGGACCCAGCCTGTGTGAGGTACCCAGCCTGTGTGAGGTACCCAGCCTGTGTGAGGTACCCAGCCTGTGTGAGGTACCCAGCCTGTGTGAGGTACCCAGCCTGTGTGAGGTACCCAGCCTGTGTGAGGTACCCAGCCTGTGTGAGGTACCCAGCCTGTGTGAGGTACCCTGTGTGAGCCACCCAACCTGTGTGAGGGACCCAGCCTGTGTGAGGTACCCAGCCTGTGTGAGGTACCCAGCCTGTGTGAGGTACCCAGCCTGTGTGAGGTACCCAGCCTGTGTGAGGGCCCCAGCCACCCAGCCTGTGTGAGGTACCCAGCCTGTGTGAGGGCCCCAGCCACCCAGCCTGTGTGAGGTACCCAGCCTGTGTGAGCCACCCAGCCTGTGTGAGGGCCCCAGCCCACCCAGCCTGTGTGAGGGCCCCAGCCACCCAGCCTGTGTGAGGGCCCCAGCCACCCAGCCTGTGTGAGGTACCCAGCCTGTGTGAGGTACCCAGCCACCCAGCCTGTGTGAGCCACCCAACCAGTGTGAGCCACCCAGCCTGTGTGAGGTACCCAGCCACCCAGCCTGTGTGAGGTACCCAGCCTGTGTGAGGTACCCAGCCACCCAGCCTGTGTGAGCCACCCAGCCTGTGTGAGCCACCCAGCCTGTGTGAGCCACCCAGCCTGTGTGAGGTACCCAGCCTGTGTGAGGTACCCAGCCTGTGTGAGGTACCCAGCCTGTGTGAGG